TCCTGGGGTGGGTACTCTCCCACGGTGGGCCGGAGGGCAGGAGGCAAGGACTGCAGCTTGTCCAAGGTCACACATCCTAGGGAAGCGCCCTGTCGGAGAGCCTCCTCCTGCTCTAACCCGCTCCCACCCAGGAGGCCATAATGCTCAGGGCTCCAGAAATATTCGAGTCCCACTGCTAGGAACACAGGTTTTATTCAAAGTCAGCTTGGAAGGAAGGTGGAAAAAACTGAATTGCTTCCAAAGTCCCAGAACCTTTAAAGGACAAGGGGCCACCAAGGGACAAAGAGAGGAAGGCACCCCTGCGGAAGGAGCCGGCCTCGGCCTCCGCGCCCACCTTCTTGGCCCCTGTCAGGAATTTCAGATGGGAGGACCCCAACTCAGCCTGTCTCGGTGCTTCCCCCAACACCATGTCACTGCTACCAACAACCAATCCTCATGTGGCACCGGCTCCAGGGCCACACACTTGACTTTTAAAGGTGTATAACAGCGGGTAGGACAGTCACGATGGCATGCATTTCACAGAGCAGGAACTGAGGCTGCAGAGGCTTTGGGTTTGGCCCAAGTTCATGCCAAATAGACCTATACATACAAATGTGCAGTGTGGAGCAGTCACACCTGGGTTGGAGTCCTGCCTGCTGGGTGACCTTGGGCCAGTTCTTAACCTGTCTGGGTCCAGCACTCCTGGTTGGTACAGCAGCGCTAAGTGTTATAATCTTGGGGTTACTGTACATGTGGATTCCACTGACGGCAGAGCCTGGCATGAAGTTAGTTCTCAGTAGGTTTCTGTTAACATCTATTAGCATTGTCATCACCACCAGCAGGAAAGACCTGTGAGATCCTAAAGCACAGGCCAGCTGGACACTGCTGACCTTGGAGGTTGAGGGGTAGCAGGTGGACAGTTGCAGGACAGACCAGATGTGCAGGCAAGGACAGAGCCTGGCCTCCAGGAGGCCTCAATGACAGATGTGCCCACATGGAGACAGGCCAGCTGGGCTCACACAGAAAGCCCTACTCTACTCTGTGAACAAACTGACAGAGAAATGGAAGCCTCAGGCGTGATTTTAAGTAAACACCCTTCCCAGGTGAGCAACAGTGAGGGGAGATTTTATTGCCGATTGGTTCCAGGCTCGGAGCTTGGAGGTGGCTGGCTGGTTGCTAGTTTTATGGTGG